TGAAAATATTGTATTAATAGTTGAATTTCTCTTTTAAAAAACTTTGAATGTGGTTGTTATGTGCTAGAAGTTATAGAAGCTACCAAGTCTGCATAATTCCGCAATTGCCCAAAGTTTAGCTCAGAATTTAAATTATTGCTTCTGGAATTTTTTTTTTTTTTAATTGGGTCATCAACCGTTTATGGAGTTAAGAACAAGTAATAATAAATGAAAAGAAAAATTAGGTTTGGTTGATAATGTAGTACTATAGAAGATTAAATAGTGTTCCTTGAGTGTGTCCTTGAATCACTCCACAATGGGTATAGAAGTAAGTATGGTCGGGCTTTACCATTATTGTGTACCAATTCTAGGATCAGGGCTTATGATTATTTATTAATCAATTAATGATTTCCTCAGAATGTGAAAGTAAAAATGAACGTACGTTGCCGACACCCCACTACTGGCCTTGTACTATAAAATAGTAATTTCCATGCATCCTTTAGCTTTGCTTTCTTTTCATATTCATCGATCTTTCCATTTAAAATTTAAAACAGTCCTGTAAAGTAAATGAAAATTTGCTCTGGATCTTGCTTTTAACTGTTAAATAAATTAATTTAGCTTAAAGGTAAGGGATCAAATCAAAATGGCTCACAAAAATTTCACGTAATCAATGTAAAACTTTTTAATTTTATAAAAAAGCACAATTTTTTCTATCGGATTAGAAGAAAGTAATACCTCTAATTACAAGTTCATGTTTACGATAAGATTGAATCTCAATTTTTAGTTAAAAGATATAAATGTTAAATCATTTGACCTAATAACTTTTATTTTAAAAATATATGTGTACCGGGAGGACCCTATCGGTCACGTGGACCAACACGTGCCGTTCCATCAGACACCCACGCGAACTGAACCATACCTAAAATTCTAACGCTAGCATCGGCTCGGCCTACAGCCGAAGGCCGACAGAAATCCGCTAGCAATATCGGCTCGGCTGAATGACGAGCCGAACAGAACCATGATGCATCTCCATATATAGCGTACCGGCTCAGCCAAATGCCGATCAAGTAGAATAGCCGATCAAATACTTATCGACTCGGCCTACAGCCGAAGACGTTCAACACCCCGAGCCCTAACCTGTCGGCTCGGCGACGTGCCGAAGGATAAAGCAAGGATTATAATATTGATCATAGTTAACAAGGATAAGCGCATGATTAAGACGTAATTAGCCAATTAGCGTCGTATTACCTAATTTGGTAAGTGTCAGAAAAGGCCCACCATGTTCAGGCCCATGTCAGGTATTATAAATAGGTCACACGTAACGAGGTACGTCACTGTTCATTCTTTACCCTAAAAAATCGTGTTTGTCCTGACTTGAGCGTCGGAGTGTCTTTTGCAGGTACCTCTCCCCCTCTGAAGTATCCACCAGAAGTATCCGTTCGGCCCTTTACTACCTAGGAGACTACGAGTGTACCCTCATGCAGGTACAATATTTACGTGACTTATTCATTTATTTATTTTATATAAAATTTATAATTTTGATTATCTCTCTCAAAATAAAAATGCATTTTTTTTTAGCTTTTGTTTAGTATAACTCAACCCTAAATGTTTAGTTCATTTCTTTGTCCCGACAAAATTTACAATGCATGACACGTATTATTAGTTCTTATTATAAAAATTTCACAAAGGAAATTCAACCATGAGCAATGTTAGTCTTTATGTGGCCACGAGACATCCAATTCAAAAACACCTATTTTTGGCATCTATATACGTATTAACATTTTATCTTCACTAGACTAAAAATAGCCTACGGCGTTAAGGCCCTTAGGGCAATTAAACCAATTGTCTGATTGTGTTGCAGCTGCATTAATAGCTGACACAACAATAATTTTGTAATTATTGATAATTTTACAAAAATAATTAAATAATAATTGATTTTTTTTGTCATACTCTTAAAATTTATTATATCTATATAACTAATTTTAATTGTGGTATACGAAATCAGTTATGATATAACCAATTTTATATGTAAGAACATTACAATAAAATGTATTTTTAATGGTATAATATAGCTTTTAATGACAATAAAAATTGTTACAAAATCTTTTACCAACAATTATTTTGTATACTGGTAAAGATACTTAATTATAATGGTCGAAAAAAATGTATAAATTTTTGTAATATTTTTTACTGGTATTTAATAATTTTTGTTATTATCACTAAAAGTTTAAAAAATGATTCATAATACTCTTTAATTACCTAGATGAGGGTTGTCCTCTACTTATATATTTTTTAATTTTTTTAATTTTTTAATTAGCTTATCTCCTAATTAGTTATTTTATCTATAGTCGATGTGAAATTTGAGTTTTTTCCAATACACTCCCTTAAGTTTAGTATTATTGAGTTTGGTAATGATGAGTTATAAGTCTAACTCAACCCTACAAAATAAACTTATAAGATGAGAGTTTTTATCCACTTATATGCTTTTTAATTATCTTATCTCTATAGTCGATGTTGGACTTAAATATTTTTCAATAAATATTTGTCGCTAATAGTAAATTTTAATATAATATAAATACATTTTTAGTGAACATTTATATATTTCATTAATATTTTTATTAGATAATAAAATAGACATAATTAATTTATTACTATTAAATAATTATCGATAATAATAAATTTTGTTAAGGGAAGAAAGTGACTTTATGAAATCGATTATATTTTAATCAATTTTGTATATCGTATTTAAAATCAGTTATAAATATAACTAGTTTGAAACGTGGTATACGAAACTGGTTAAGATTTAACTGATTTTGTACATCCTTCAAAATTTTAAAATCTTCATATTTACTCTCTTTGTAAAAGTTTCTTGAACAAGTTAGGTCACATCCAAGACTTATCCTCTAAAAGTCTTTACAATGACATAATGAAGGTGACGATGATCGAATTGGTTGTTCACCATATCAGTAGCATTGGCGCGCTGGGGTGGACTCTGGTGAACAATGCCTCCAAGCACAACATTGTTGATTCTAATGGTTGTATGAGCTTTTCGTTCATGACTCACTCTAATTAGAAGAAGCAACATAGATATGATACTGTTAACCCTTTTAAAAAAGACAATTGAAAAAATAATGCAAGGCACCTATGTTTGTACGTGCATAATTTGGAACATGGATCTGGTTTTTCTTTGTAGAGAGAAAGAGGAAAATGAGGAAGTGGGAAAAGCTTCGGCAGTAGCGTTACATCCCTAGTATTCATTTTAATTATTGAATTGGAGTATTTTCGGATGTTACAAACTACCGACCCCAATCAGTATAATTCACGATTTGTGTGTGGATTATTTAATTAATTTAAAAGTAAATTTAAGTTTCTTAATTTATTCAATGTTCTATATCAAATTTTAATGATTTAACCATTAAATTAAAAGTTTTTAATACATAGATTAAATTTATATATTTAAAATAAAATTATAACTATTTCATATCTCATTTTAGTAATTCAAATTGATAAATAATCATAAAGATATTTTATACGTTGATTTAAATTAATGAAATGAAGTATTAAATAATTTTTAAATTTTTTAAAAATTTGTTGATTTGATCTATAATTTTAAGAAAGGAATGAAATTGGTAATATTAATTCTATTTGCAAATAATAAAAAGTAATTTATGATGAAATGATTTATAATTTATTTACTTTTAGTAATGTACAATAAGTATGTTTTTAATTTGGATTTGCAAAATAGCTATTATATATTAAATATTTATGAATTTTGATCAAAATTACAAGTACACATTTATTATATTGTATGAACATTGATATATATGATGACACGTATCTTACAAGTATCGTATCCTATATATTTTTAAATAATCGTATCGTTGTATCGGATACGTGTCGTATCCGATACGCGTATCGTATCGGTGCATCATAAGTACTGAATCCTGGTAATTGGTGGTATGAATGATCTCGGATTTTTACTTAACCTGTATTCCATATACACTTACAGACCTGCTTAACCAAAAACCCGTCCATTTCAAAGCTTCTTTTCTCAGCTAAAGAAAAAACTGGAGTTTAGAAATTACTTTTTATAACTTCATCAAGAGAAAATAATCAGATTATATATGGTTTGTTTACTAAATAGATTGGCACTTGAGGCACATCAAGTTCTTTTGATTTTCAATTTGAAATCATGTACAGTAGCGGAGGATACATTCTAGTTCCACAATCTATAAATGTTTCAACAAAGATATATAGTATTTAGAAATTAGAACCTTATCTTTTCCAGTTGCTATTGCATTGCTTAGATATTTGGTCTTAAACATGGGAATTTATTTTTTTTCTTCTTTGTAATATGCTTGTAATTAGATAATGTAAAATGGACTTTTCTAATCTGCACAGTGTTTCAGTTATATAATTTTGATGTCTGTTCCTCAATCATGTTTTTTGCTACGATCCTTTTCTCACTTTCATTCTTCCTTTCTTTTTTGGGTGTTTATTTGTTCTTTTTCCCCCTGTTCCTGTTGTTAGGAAAATTCTGGCAGAGATTCTGGTTTCAATTTCATTGTACCCTTTTCTTCTTTTATGGCTTAAGTGAAGATAGCAGAGTCCACCTTAGTTAGAGAAACCTATCCCACCTAAGTTCTAGATATTTTGGTTGTTAATAATCTGATATTATAAAGTTTTCGTTGGTTGTTTTATGCTTAAATTTCTTTTGTAACAAGTCATATAATGCATGATCTCCATGCATACATATGTTCACAGATCGTGATACAACCATACATTGCATTATGTCCTTCATCATGAATTTGGCCCATTTTCTTATAGGCTGTCCTAAAATTACAATTTTATCTTAATAGCTCTTAACTTCTTTTAGAACATGGATTTTGGTCTAACTCAACTCTAAAAATTTGATTTATAAAGAGATGATTTCTTTCCATTTATATATACTTTGTTTGCTTTAGCTTTGGTTGATATGAATTTTCCCAACAACTTCCTTAATATATGTGTCATTTCATGTGTATAGAAATCAACAATTGTTTCTAGAGTAGGTTTAGATAAAGGGATGGAAGACTGTCAAACTAGAACTGCTAGCTTCTGTGGTGTGATTCTCCCAAGTTCTTATCTTTAACTTATCCTACAAAGGCTCAGTGTCATTGTGTTCATACTTCTATAGTGCGGTTTTACGAGAGTTTAGCATGTCAAGTTTGAGAATGGTGTATGTATAATGTGTTCAGACTTCTCACATTTTGCTCTTTGATCATGTCTAGGTTGTTCTGGTAGTTCAGATAGTCTGTTGGGTAGGGCAGTTCATTGGTCATGGAGTATTTGAGGTTAGTTGTTGTTATAACAACTCAATTTGACTTAAAACCTGTTTGGATATAAGTTTATAGCTGAGAACTTTTCTACTAGAAAATACTCCTTATTTCTAATAGAGAAGATCTCGAAAGATTTTCTACCTTGTATCCAAACAAATTCTTAAACATTTTTTATATTAATGTTCCTGAGATTTTTTGTTCACAGAAACGTGCCCCTGCTCTTTTGGATAACCTCATTCAGGCCTTTGTAATGGCTCCTTTCTTTGTATTGCTAGAGGTATTCTACTTTTAAATTTCATGTTTTCCCTCTTGCATGGTTTTCTTTCCTTCCATAACATTATTTATTGTTTGAATATATTCATTTATGTCTGGCTATAAGGCTACTTGTTTAATGTAGGTACTCCAGACTTTATTTGGTTATGAGCCATATCCAGGATTTCACTCAATAGTGAAAGCAAAAGTAGAAGCTAACATCAATGAATGGAAAGAAAGTAAGCAGAAACTAGTATCTTAGATTCTTCTTTAGGCTTGTACTTCTTTAAAACAACGATCGCCCTCAAACAGAGGAAGAATAAAAGCTACAAATTATGCTAATATGTTTTCTAATAGAAGCATCAACCATGTATGTTGCTTCCTCTTCGTTGATATGGTTTGGATGCTATCTTTTATGACGTGGCAATATATGGAGCATGATTTGTGTAAAAATATGTCTATACTCACATTCCATAAATCCATGTTTTCCTTTTGTTTGTCTCTTTTTTCAAGTTTCCTCTGCCTCTTCTATCTTTTTCCAACCAAGTATAGTGAATGATTGTGATATTACGCAAAGTTGTGCTTTTCAAAACAACATTTCGGTTGACCAAACAAAAACATTTTGAGTAATGGTGAATCTATGAAGAAAAATCGGATGATGTTTGCATAGTCAAAGGATGTGTTCAGACTTGAGAACCATCCTCGTCAACAGCTTTATAAAAAAAAGCAAACAAGACGTGCACCTGTTAAATTTATAGGATGAACTCAATGCGTGCTAAATTGCTTCATCATAATTATGAAGACGTGTTATTCAAGAACAAATTTCAATTCTACTTTGCACTATATTCTTTAAGAAATATAGTGCAATATCCACATCTTGGTTGAGTCAAGCCTCGTATATTTGAGTACCACAACCCTTGGTATGCGTCAAGATTCCCCCCAAAAGAGAAAATGCAATCTGAAATGAATGAGACTTCGGAAGAGAATAACGATATACAGGTTAATATTACCTTAATATAGGAAATGTATGTATTTTTTATGCATAGGCTAATAGTGGCACTAACTAATACGTAGAGGAATTGTTGATGTGGTTTCCTCTGATATATTTTGTAGACATGAAAAAGTAAAAAAAAAATCCGTTGTTTGAGGACAAAGGCTCGAGTGTAATGATATAGTTCATCATATTTAAGTTATTATGTCACAACCTTGTAGAGCATATGGATTTATAAGTCCAAAGAAAATGCTTCACTCATCCGTTACGTGTCTTGGACCTAACATCCCTGTAGAATGCTAGCTAGCACTCAACCAAATTAATTAATCAATATGAATATATACATGAATCTAGACACATATAAATACACAAACGACTCATTCAAATGATTAGTTTGTTTAACTCGTACTTATTTATATTAAGTGGCAATTTTGTGACGAAACAGACACAAGAATTTTGTACTATAATAAAATGTGGTGTGGTCCTGAGCCACATCTTATTATATATATATATGGCGCATGCACATACCAACCTTCTCAACACGTCACTTCCAATTCTACCAATACCGCCGTCATCCTTTTGGATAAGCAACACAAGGTGCCACCAATCACGAATTAAATTAATAGTTCATTTGAATACTCCTTTCTGCTTCAATTATTGACTTGCACCACATAATTTGCCAATCCTGTTCTTGGTCAAAATACAATAATCATCGTGATGATGTGTGCATGGAAACGGGTGGCTTAACCATGTTTGGATTTGAATGCTACCAAAGAATAATGAGCTAATCCTCTTGTTTAATTGAACTCTGAAGTGTATCAGAATAAGGAATGCAATTCCTATGAGGTAATACTTGTGCTTTTTCATAAAAAGATAAATGTTATAACAAGGTTTTTTAAAAAAGTGAATGGTATTTCTTACAAAGAGTATATATATACAATTTCTGTGGGAGCTAGCTATCTGATTGGATATTTCATATCACTGAAAATTCATTGGGTGATGTAATATTTATTTCTACAAAGAATCTTCAGGATTATTTAATTGGTGACGCTTATCGTCATGCCAAAATAATCAAATTTCATTAGTTTTTAATATTGATATTATCCTCTCTGATCATACACTTGGTTCACAAATATGGTGGGGTTGAGGGTGCTATTCTGTTTCACTTGGTACTTCCCTGAATCTGATGCATAAGGGTCATTATTAGGCATTTCAACCAGCTGTGGTTTTACAAACGGGTCTATTCCTCCATTGTCAGTGTTAATTTGAAAATCAAAGGTTGAATTGAATGAGCCATCAGATAATATATGTGATATTGGACCCAAGTAATCCATCTCCAAAAGATGAGTGAGAGAGCTAGTCCTTGGAAATTTCATTACTTCATGTTGATCACTGTCATTATTTGCAGGTGCAATATTGATTTGGGATATAGGGTAGTCCTCTCTTGCCTCCAATGATTTTCCCATGTTCTTCTTCTTATAGATCCTACACAAGACCCAGTCATCCAGCTGATGACACATCCAAGTACAAGAATAAGGTCAATTAAGGAAAACATTAAACAACCATCTAAAGAGTAATATAAAATCTTTTATCCACTTAACCAATTAGAAATTATATTAGTTATGACATTTATATATTATATAATATGAAAGTTAACCAATTTATCATACATAAAAACTTGTGATCAGATAAGATGTCAAATCAGCGTCAAGCTTAGGCTAAGTACACAATATTTACCTAATAATTAATAAGGGAAAGACTTGAAAAACTTACCCTCATGGATCCAATTTGCCTATTGGCTTGTCTTCTTGATCCAATTAATCTGTACTCATGCATAATCCAATCTGTCTTGATACCCTTTGGTGGCTTACCCTTGTAGAAAACCAAAGCTTTCTTCACCCCAATATGCTTAGACCCACTATAGATTGCTTTGTCAGTGCCAGTAGCCTTCCAATACCCAGAAACAGTTGCTCTATTAGGCCTCACCCCATTTGGGTACTTCCTCTCTCTTGGGCTAAAGAAGTACCATTCATTTTCTCCAAAGTCAGATTTATCTGTGTTTCATGACAAATTAATGTGGAACGGCCCGTTCCGGGATAGAAATTTTAAGGCATTTTGGAAAGTTAGAACGGCCCATTCCAGATTGGGAACGGCCCGTTCTGGGCTAGGAATTTTATAAAAAAATACTAAATTACCCTCCATAAAAGTATAAACAATGAGATGTTACATTTGACTTACGTATTTTTGTCTTTTTTATTCTTTTTTGAATATACCTTTTTTTCTATTTTTTTTAAACAAAAATTGACATTTCCCGGACGAAATTGGGTTACTACAGCTAGGACTACAGTTTTATCAGAACATATAAAATTGGTTATACACAATCAATTTTATAGGTACTTTTAAAATCAGTCAAAATCTGATTTTAAGAATACCCACCTATAACAACATTAGCTGGAACAAAATCATTTTTTCAATTGATTTTGTAGTTCAAAATAATCGATTTTATATCCCTTTTTCTCATTAGTTCTTTCTACATTTCATTTTCTTTTCTCACTACAAAAATATCATTTAGAGACTAACAAAGTTGGTCGCTAATTGCATATATTTGCTAAATATAGACATTTAATTGCCGATTTACATAGTGACTTAAAATAGTTAATCTTGAAAATCCAATTCGCAAAGCCATCTAGTAATCAATTAATTATACATTTATTGCTAATTATTACTTATATTTTGGGTCTCTGAAATAGAGATTGGAAGTTTTGTCACAAATTTAGTTACTAAAGTTTGAAATATTTTAAAAATAAACCTAGATAAATATAAATTGGCCACAAAAATAAAGAATTTTGAAAAAAAGTTATCAGCCATTATTTTTTTAAAGTCTATTTAGCTACTAAAATAAAGAGTATTGAAAATATATATGTATGTGTGTTGAGGGAAATTAAGGATTCAAGATCCATTGGCACCAAGATGTCAAATTTGTGAAATGACAATTCAATAATCTCTTATAAAATGTAAATTCAGTCAATTTAACTATTGTATTTGACAATATTACAAATTAGATTAAGTATCGAAATTTTCATACAATTTCATAATTATTTGATAATTTATCAATTTCACTTTCTTTTAATGTGTCATTCAAAATATATATAAATATCTATTTTTAGATAACATATGTAGAAGAGTTAAATCATCTAAAACTTGATATGATCCCGAGTCTAATATATCATTAAATACAACGATTGAGTCGGTTGAATTATAAAAAAAATTTATATTTTATTTCACTAATTTGATACACCATGATGTCAACTAATCATGATACACACATCATTCATTATTTTTCAGATACTAAATTTAATTATGTAACAAATTAATTATTTTATTTCGTAACTTATCATTGTTGTCTTGCTTTAATATTTATTATTGCTTACTAATTTTGTAGTTGAATTTAAGTTAAAAGTAACCAATATGTTACATATCGTCGCTAAGTCAGTTGCTAGTAGCGACTAATTTTATTTTATTTTTTCACTAAATTTGGTGGCAGTTTCACCTTTTCTTGTAGTTACCTATTGTCTATGTTTCACTTTGTTGAGTTAGAGAGATCAGAGCAATGAAACAATAAAAAATATCAAAATTAAGTAAAAATAATAGTTAGCAATGATGTTTTATATAAAATAAAACACAAATATAAATTGTGTTTTATGCATATGTTTAATTTTATGTCAAGTAATATTCAAATGTTATTCACATAAGACATATTGATGAGATTAACACTTTTTAAAAATGTTAATTTCACTAATTGTCCTACATGGACAATACATGGACCATGTCTAGTTTTTTTCTTGCAAAACGACTTAAGTTAATATTTCGTAAATTTTAATATCCATTATTATTATAAAGACATTTTGAAGGACCAAATATTTCTTATGTTTTTGGTTTCAACAAGTTTGATTTGCATTTTCTAACATTGACATGGATAATTTAATAATTAGTTTCAAAATAACCTTATATTAGTATGATCTCACAGTGGTCAATCATTCCAACATCATATTAAAAATTTGAATTTGATATCACTAATTAAAGGCTCATTTGGGATTTTTTTTTGCAAGTTTTAATTAAGATTTAAAATAATTTTATTTTAAAAGTTTTTTTTATCTTGTTAAAATTGGTTTAATAGTATTGTGTGGTGACGATGACAACAAAAATTGTGACAATGACAATGATAATAATAATAATGAAAATCATAATGTTAATGTCAATGTCAATAGTTGTGATGACAATAAAATGAATAAGTAGTATAATGATGATAAGAGTTGTAATGTTGACAGCAATGATAATAAGATAATAATAACAATAAGGCTAAAAACCTAATTTGGTCCCTTATAATAATTTTTTGTTTCAATTTAGTCGTCCCACTTTTATTTTTTGTTTCAATTTGGTCCCAAACTAATTAATTGGTTTCAATTTAGTCCCAAATTAATTAATTAGTTTCAATGTGGGACTTCCGTCCAAATTATTTAA